GCAAAAAAAAAAGCTGGATTTTTTTTAAAAATGTAACCCTTGCGAAGAACGGGTACGACACATGTGAAATCAGTGTTGCCAACTTGGCGAATTATTTTGCACATTGGTGCAATAAAATCTAAGAGCATACATTTTCTTCCATTGAAAAAGGTTACTACTTTTCGTGACACTTATGTATTAGAGTCACTGCAGCCAAAGTGGTACTTTTTTCACCAAAATTAGATTTTTTTCCTTATAAGACACATAAGAATCTGTTATTTTGATATCGTGGTGCAAATTTTGCTGCGGTGATGCCAATACATAAGTACCCTTTTCCTTTATTGGCAGATTTCATGTTTTTCCATTGTAACAAAAAAAAGTAGAAAAATGTAAATTTAGAAAATGACACTCAATGTAAACTGAGATTAACAGATTGTCAATATTGTGATTTTAAGTTAGAATTTCTATTTACGTATAATATTTTTTGTCATGCTTTTTTTTTGTTCTGAGCTGCTTATGATAGTTTCATCAAAATCAAATCTTAATTTATCTATTTAAAGTACCTTTTTGATTTCAATTAATATTATAATTTCAATATACTATATGTAAGGTTACTTTTATATTTCTTTATTTCTTTTTCAATTTTAAATATTTAAGATTTTCAGTTATGTGCTTTTTTGTTGTTGTTCGGAACTGTTTATGGCAATTTTATCAAAGTTAGGGCTTACTTTTTCTGTTTTAATAACCTTTTAATTTAAATTAATATTATAATTCCTATTTCAGTTCTGAACTAATATTCTATATTAGATGTATTACTGAGATGTTAGATAGTATTATATGAGGTATGGGTGCAATGCTAATTTAATTTTTTTTTCAGTTGAATGCTTTCTAATATTTCTTATTCATGATAGCATTTAGTGAATCAGTTTATCATCATTCATTTTTTCTTTCGGCTCATCTATTGCAGGTTATTTCACCCATAGTTCCCATAGCAGAAACTCACTATTGCTATCACTTTTCTGTAATAATTTTTATTTATATTTGCATTCATTCATATCTATTTACTCTTTAGCTTGCTAATTTTCTCTCTTACATTGAAATATTTGTTTTTGTTAAATTATTATTTACTTTGAAGCCAAATTGCAATTTGTTTAAAATTATTTCTAATGTAAACATTCATTTGAAAAAAAATGTTTTTAATTTTTGGTTTTCTACTTCATACAGGGTTTTACCCTCCCTAAAAAAATATTATAATTGCTATGATAGAAAAAGTTTTGTTTTTAAAACTTAACCCGTGCGAAGAACGGGCATTTAAGCTAGTTAAAGATGAAGGTATTGATACAAGCATTTGTAGCTGCTAAAGCCAGGAGAATCAATATATATTTGAAAATATTTTCTAATTTTGATATTTTACTTTGTTTGCGCAAGCCCAACTGCGCATGCGCATCTATCGAGATGAGTATGAAGAAGTTATGAGTAATGAATAAACGCTAGTTATATATAAGAAATAACTAAGGTATTCTCTATGAGATAACAAAGGTGTTCCATGAAATAACTAAAGATAGACCGTTAAAGTGAAAAATAAACAACTTTGATAAATTAATTCATCATAAATAGTTAAAATTTCTCGAAAAATATATTTTTTGCGGATGAATAGTTGATAAATAATAAGGGAAAGCAGATAATATAATTTATTATAAGTAATATTGCTAACATTAGTTAAACAGAAAGGGGGGAAAGGAATATGCTGCAAAAATAGATTACATTTAAATATTATATCAACAAAAATACACATGCTAGGAAGAAAAACTGTTTCTTCATAAAAACATTGTGCAAACTTTTTTAAACAAAAATGTAAGGAAAAATTAATTTAAATTTTATGAGATACCTTTATTTTACTTTTCATTTTTTATTAGAGCAAGGATTGCAAATGCTTATTATTCTTGAAACAGGTCCACTTTTTACACGAACACCTTTTAAACCCTTGTTCAGTACTCAACTTTGAGCTATTCCAACAGATCAAAGCATTGTGTCAATATTTGGAACTTCTTCATCGGAAATTAATTCCAGCTGACATATACTGAACTGATATGTAGAGCACAGTTATTTTACTCGGCCATCTCTAGTTCCTAACCGGAAAATTCCTTCCTAAAGCAGCCAGCTAGAACCTGTTCAAAAAACTTTCGAGCGCCGTATTTCATACTTTAACGATGAAGTAATCGTTATTCAATAGAATATCTAGTTAAATCGTAGAATTCAATAATTTTACATACTTTAAGTATACTTTTATATATTTGTTTAGTTATTTCATGAAAAACATTCTTATTCTATGAAATAACGGATTTCACACTTTAACGGTAACACGTACACTGGTGTACAAAAGTTAAGTATAATTGATAATTATGTGAATAAAGAAGGAACTGTAAATGAGAATGGCGGGGGAAACGTAATATGCGAGTGTAAAATGGTCATAAAATAAGGAAGCAAATCAAAAGAATGATAATAATTAATTTTATTATCCAAATTAGCTGTTTGAAAGAAAACTGAGCATTGCAAGGATTCACTTTTTTTAAAGAAAAAATGAAAGAAAACATTAAATTAAATACTGATGCTGCAGTTTAATAAGGCGTGTGGTCACCTCTGACAGCCAGGCACGCTGCACAGCGATTTATCATACTTGCTATGAGATGATGAATGAGTTGTGGGCTCAAACGGTTCCAAGCTACTTGGAGAGCTCTCTTCAGTTCTGTAATGGAGCTTGGTGGGTGCGAAAGGGTTGCAATTTGTCTCCCGAGCATATCCCACACATGCTCGATAGGATTTAAATCAGGGGAGTTCGCAGGCCACGACATGCGCTGGATGTTTTCCGTTTCATGGAAGTCATCAATCAGCACCGCCTCGGTGACATGGCGCATTATCATCCATAAATGTGAAGTCAGAACCGACAGCACCTCAAAACAAGCCAACATAAGGCTCAAGAAGTTCGTCTCTGTATCTTTGAGCAGTCACAGACCCCGTGTCAAAGAAATGGAGGTCTGTGCGGCCGTCCATCATGATGCCTGCCCGTACCATTACTTCCCTTGATGGAAAATGATGTCTTTCCGTTATGTTTCTTGGTTCAAAACGAGTTCAACGTTCTCTCCATATCGTCACCCAACGAGAATCACTACTCAGACTAAACCGGGACTCGTCACTGAACATCACATTGGTCCGCTCTCCCACACTCCAATGTCGATATTTCAAACTTCAGTTCAAACGAGCGCGTTTATGCGCAGACGTGAGGGGAATGCAAACTGCTGGTCTTCTGGCATACAGGCCAACGTGATTGAGTCTCTTGTAAGCAGTTTGTCTCGAAATTCGTATTGCTGTGGGGACTGCGAGCACCGAACCCAGTGCTCTGGCAGTACTGTCCCTCTGACGTCGCGCACTTATTACCAGATATCTGTCTTGGTCTACCTGATACTGGTTGTCGGGTAACATCTCCCGTTCTTTGAAACCTCTGACACAGTATTGAGATCACAGACTGGCCCACATTCAGAATTCGAGACACTTCGGTTAGTGATCGTGAGGATTCCAGTATTCCAACGATTCTTCCTTTCGTAAACATGTCCAATTGGTGTCTTTGTGCCATCATTCACCTTGTTTGATGGTTAACAACGTTCCTTCGCACAGCAGTTGCAGGAAACTTGTCTGAACTGCCTATACTGCGTGAAACGGTTTCTCCGCGCTCCGACATGCGCCGGTGTTTTGCGCAGGACGTAGTCGACTGAAAAGTTTTGCATAAACCCAATGTTTCTTCTTCATCCAATTAATATCCGCAAGAAATTTGGAATAATTTTACGAATATTTACTCCTTGTTTTTCGCAGTTTACGATGTATGCTTAACTTTTGGACACCAGTGTATATTCAATTACCGTGTATATAATAGTAAATAATTATAATTTAAATATATATGATAGAAAAATGATGATATAGCTTTAACGATAACATATGTGGTAACAATAACACAGTTTCAGATCCCATAGTACTGAATTATTCGAAAATGGTAACGTATATCTTTGAGGAATGTTTTGAAACAAGTACCGTAAAATCCGGCGTATAACGCGCACTCTTAACACAAAAATTAAGATCGAAATTTACGGGTGCGCGTTATATGCCGGGTAAAAAAAAGGAAAGCTTTAAAAATAAAAAAAATATATAAGAATAGAAAAAAAATTAGACTTCTACCTAGATCGAAAAGCTGTTTCTTTGAAAAAATAACATTTCTTATGAACTTAAAGGGCTGTATAATTTTATAAGTACACTTTTTTTTACTAAAGCTTTGAATAATATCTCGAATAAATGACTTCAAAATAAAAGAACATAGAATACGTATCTTTCAGGTTCCTTTTTAAAAAAGAGGGTGAGCATACTACGTTGAAATACCTAAAAACTAAGAATTGTATTTTGAAAGTATAGGTGCGCATTATGGGCCTTTTACGGTAATTTAAAAAAAAATTAATTTCTAAGATTCATATAAAAGATTTTTCACTCTTGTTGTTGAATATTAATATTCTAATTCCTTGAAAGCTTTTATAAGGGTACAACAACTATCAAAGCCATATTAAGTTCAAATGGAACTGAAATTCCTGTTAGGGCAATGGTATTGTTGTCGTAGACTAGTGTTTATAATCACGGACTCGTGTCAGGAGTGTCGTGATTCGAGTCCTAGTGACACTAAGGACCCGCCGTGTAGAGGAAGTCAATGCACGTTAAATCTGTCGCAGGTCATTGTTCTCCCGTTGGTGTGGCGTTATAGTTAGAAGAGGGGACTTGCCACCTCAGTTCTACGTCCTGGTCACTTGACTGAGATTCAAAATTACGAGGTCCGTCGCCAATAGCCACCGCGTGTTGTCTTATTCTTCTACGTTAATATAACTCTCACTTGCTCAGGGGAATGGAATAGAAATGGGAGGGATTTGACAGTTCTAACCCTCCGAAAAGAATTGTTGTACATTGTAATTTCAAACAGATCACTTGTCGCCCTACCTAGTATGTTGGTTATGACACTCAGCTCGTAATCGAGTGGCCTCGGGTTCGAATCCCGAATAAGGCATGGATGTATCTTCGGGAAAAAAGGTCGGACTTTCACCTGAAATGGATTCCCGTCTCGAATGGAAACCAGCGCACCCCTTCTGTTCCATGCTGTGTGAGTAAGTTAGTGAACAGTAACGTCGCACTGTTCAGCTACACGAGCGCTTTTGCCGATGGACCTCGTAATTTTGAACCATGGTTAATTGACGAGGACGACACCTGAGCTGGGGAACTCCCTATCCTAACTAACACACCAACGGGAGGACGTTTGAGCTCTGGGCAGATTTAACGTGCATCACTTCCCTACACAGCGGATCTTTAGTGGTACTGAGCTCGAACTCATTACATGCCAGATCCGATACCTTGACTACTAGGCTACCGTGGCCACGTTATATGCTGGGATTCTCCGTTTGTAATAAAAGGCTATATTCTTCTGTATTTGTATTGTACGTTTCTGTTCGTCTATCTCTCATCTTTTGTATCTATCCCAGTATGAAACACGCAATAACAACAAATCACTTCTAATACAATAAAAATTTTATTTTTATATCGCCTTATCAGATCTGGAATAAATAGATAATCGAAATTCCGTAAGCTTGATAATCGTTTTCTTCCCCTTGAAAATAAGTACTGAAATTTGAAATTAATTTTGATCTGTGAGTTGAAGCAAAACAGTCCCCCCCCCTCCTCTAGAAATTCCTCACTGTACCCTGTTTCAATTATGTGCGAAAATTAGGTGTGGCGTACGCGCGCGTTCTATTACCTTAAAGAAAGAATAAACAGTTTTGTCATTACTAAAAACATATAGCACACTGAATTAAGTTATAGCAAGAATTTTTATTAAAATTCACTCTTCTCAGTTTATCTATATATATAAAGGAGAAAAGCGACTCACTAACTGACTGACTAATCACGATATCTCTGGAACTATTCAACCTACATACTTGAAATTTGGTAGACATTTTCCTTTCATAGAGTAGACATCAGCTAAGAACGGATTTTCCGAAATACGAAACGCAAGGGGCGTTACGGGGGTTAAGGCGTTATAAATAATTGTTTCCATGTTTAAACTACTCAATATACAATTTTAAATTGGGTTACCATATTCCTTTTATACAGTAGAGATCCGCTACAAAATGAGTTTGGTGAAAATCGTCCCCCAAGTGGCGTTGCAGGGGCTTAGGGGGCGTTAAAGATAATTATTTTCATTTTTAAACTATTTGACGCACTGTCTTTAAATTTGATAAATACATTCCTTTCGTAGAATAATGATCAGTTACAAAACGGGTTTTGTGAAAACAGACTTCTAAGTAGCGTTGCGGGGGATTAAGAGGCGTAATAGACAAATATATCCGTTTTTAAACTACTTCACCTACCTGCTTGAAAATTGGTAGGTAAGTTTCTTTCATGGGGTAAATATCCGCTACAAAATGGGTTTTTAAAAAATTGACCCCCAAGGGGTGTTGCGGGGGTGGGGGTTTAAGGGGCGTTATAAATTCCGATTTTTTAACTATTAGACGTACAGTCTTGAAACTTAGTAAGCAGATTCCTTTCATAGGGTAGAGATACGCTACAAAATGGGTTTCGTGAAAATTGCCCCCAAGTTGCGCTGCGGGACTTAAGGGACGTTATAGGTAATTATTTCCATTTTTAAACTATTAGACGCACAGTCTTTATATTTGATAAATAGATTTCTTTCATAGAGTAGAGATCAGCTATAAGAAGGTTTTGTGAAAACAGACTTCTAAGTGGCGTTGCGGGGGATTAAGTGGCGTAATAGATAAATATTTTCGTTTTTAAACTACTTGACCTACCTGCTTGAAAATTGGTAAGAATGTTTCTTTCATGGAGTACATATCTGTTACAAAACGGGTTTGGGAAAAATTGACCCCCAAGGGGTGTTGAGGGCAGATATAAATAATTATTTCTATTTTTAAACTATTAGACGTACAGTCTTGAAATTTGGTGAGCACATTCCTCTCATAGGATAGAGATCCACTACAAAATGTTTTTTGTCAAAATAGACCCTTAGGTGGCGTTGCGGGGGTTCAAGGGGCGTTATTGATAATTTTTTTTGCATTTTTAATTTATTGGACGCACAAATTTTGCTAAGCAGATTCCTTTCATAGAGTGCAATTCCCCTACAAAATGGGTTTTGTGAAAACAGACACCGAAGTGGCATTATAGATAATTATCCCCATTTTTAAACTATTAGACGTAGTCTTGAAATTTGATAAGCAGATTCCTTTCGCAGAGAACCGCTACAAAATGGGTTTGCGAATATCAACTACTAAGTTTAATTTCGGGAGATTAAGAGGCGTAATCGATAAATATTTCCATTTTTAAACTACTTGATCATCCTGCTTGAAAATTGGTAGGCATGTTCCTTTCATGAAATAGAGTTCCTCTAACAAAGAGTAAAACGAAAATTGACCCCCAAGGATGGTTGCGAGGTGTCAAGAGGAGTTACAGAAAAAAATTCCTGTTTTTAATTGTTAGACCCATATACTTGAAATTTTTTAAGCATGTTTCTTTTGTTGAATAGGGATGCACTAAGAATGTATTTTAAGTAAATCAAGTTCTGCGGAGGGGTGCAGGGGTTACTGGGACGTATTGACACAAAAAAATCCTTTTTTCGAGCTACAAGGACTATAATAATGAAATTTGGTTTGCATTTTTCTTTTGTTGAATTGAAATCCGCTAAGAGAGGTTATTTTGGAAAACGGCTCTCAGCACGGGATTACGGGGATATTGATAGTAAAACTTTTGTTTTTTTCTGTTTGATTTAGACTTGAAATTTGGCTTGCATGTTCAATTTACGGAGTAAAGATCCACCGCGAAAATTGGTTTTGCGGGAATCCACTTGGTTTTTGGGTTACGAAAGAGGAAACATCATTCTATACTTCAATTTTAGAGATTTTTAGAAAATACAAATTAGATAAGTTCTGCCCTTTTTATTTATCAACAGGCAACAGTTACAGGTCTAAGTATATTTTTCAATACAATTGAATTCTTAATGCTAGGACTTAGATATAAATAATTTATACATATATATAAGCAGTAAAAATTTATAAAACATCATGAAATACCCAGCGAAGCGGGCGGGTAACAGCTAGTTCTTAATATAAGTCAAACTCATAATGGAGTAGACATTGTTTGCTTTAGTACATGATAAAGTCTTATTTCGTATTTCTCGAAACTGTGTGTGAGTTAACTATTTAATTTGGAAATTTAATATTTTTTTAAATATATTTTTTTAACCTTATACTTTTTTTTATGAATATAATTCCTAATTTTAAATACGTGCTCTTTCACTCCTGCGCACGTTCATATAATATTCCTTAATTGAATATTTATCAGTAGAATGATAAAATATAAAAATCAAACATTTCCAATTTATTATTTAAAAAAGGCTCATCACCAATTTAGACAATCGAATACAAGACGCGGTAATATGAAAGGGAAAAAAGGAACCTTAGGCGTAAAACGTGTTCTAAAATAAGGAAAATAATTTTTAAAAATATTTTTAAAATTTATTATTGCCACAAATAAATTAAACTTTCGAAAAAATAAAAATATATTTAATTTTAGTTAAATGATTTTAGACTGAAAATAAAAAATAAAAAATTACAATATAAATAAACAAGAACAATAATTATTGATAAGTGAGTACTGAGTACGTTTCGCAATCCCCATTCTCTCTCTCCCCACTTGGAGCCGCAATGGCCTAATGGTGCAGGTGTCAGGCGTGTCATGAGTTCGAGCCCAGTACCACTAAAGACCCGCCGTGTTGGGAAACGATGCACGTTAAATCTGTAGAGAGCTCAAACGTCCTCCCGTTGGTGTGGTAGTTACAAGAGGGAGTGCCAGATCAGGTGTCGTTTTCGTCACTTGACCATGGTTCAAAATTACGAGGTCCGTCACCAAAAGCCCTCGAGTGTGATGTTAATATTCACTCAACATTGTGATGTTAATATTCACTCACTCTTTCTCTCTCCCAGCACCATCAAATCAGTACGATCTAAATTTTTTCCCTGTTTAGCCTTATTGTGCACTAAAATTTCAACAATAGGTTCTTTACAAAAATTTAATGTTAAATGTGTATGTGATTTGTGTTTTTTCTTGTAACTATTTACTAGGTGTCCTTTCATTACAATATAAATTTTCAAAAATTCTAAAATGTCTGTTTTTCTTTAACAAGAAATACTTCGACTTTTTACCCAAAAAAAACTCAAATACTTAAACATCCTCCTCCTTGTACCAGTACTTAACATAGAAATTAATTTTTTATTTTATTTTTCCCATCATTTATACCTCAGATAAATCTTCCCCGCATATAAGTAGGTTTTGAAATACTCAAAAAAAGTTTTTTCTACCTTACCTATTGTATGATGTTTTCGTGTATTTTTATCAGTATTATTATTCATAATATATACTATATCATTTTTCATTAGTAATACTTCATTACGAACCTTTTAAATCTGGGGACCTCTAAAATACATTTTATAGACCCCTTGAAAGTTTCAATGGATCAAGAATGAAAAACATCCATTTTTTTGCCCAAAATGTTCCAAAAAGAAGGACTTTTTTTTAATGCATATAACCAAGTATAATATTTAACGCAGAACCTGTATTTTAATTTTCAGTGCTAAAGTTTTCATACTATTTCTTATTTTATAATTGTGTTGAACACAAAAATCCCTGAAGTTCATTTTTTTATAAGTACACTCTGCATGCTAGGAAGTATGTTTCATGTATCTGAAAAAAAATTTTCTCGCACTTACAAAAAAATTTCCTGTTCGCACTTTTTTTTCACACGATTGGTTATTTTATATATGTAGGAACGCACAATTTGAAGCATAGTGCAATACTATGTCTCACATTGCAATAGAGATAGAGATAATATCGGCTTTTTCGGATTATCTTTCCATTTTCATTTCTTCTCAAGCAACAAATTTCATATTGCCTTGCCAATCCCTGTTCTTTATCGAATATTTTCAAGAATCTAAATTCCTGCTTTTA